CTCCTCTCAGGGTTATCTTCTCTCCACATAAAGCGTCTTTAAAACTGCCAGAAGAGAGTAAGTCCTCCATGGATGCATGCCTGACAATGCTCACAGAGCCACAGCGAGAGCTGGGTTAGCTATTGCTTTTTTCCAAATATCGCGAGCGCATCTCGTGTAGCTTGTCACGGCATTTGCTGGGTTTTTGTGTCTTCTGCCTTACTTACGTATCTCCCTTGTTACAATGAGAGTTCAAGGGTTGTAGGGTGACTCAACTTTCTTGGTGGCCAAGGAAACTAACCTCGTTCCCACATTATAAATCAGAGGAAACGATGTGGAAAATGTTGAGACAACAGGAGAAAGGAAGTTTCAAATCAAGCTTAGATGTCCCCCGTGACAGTAATCTGTCAGCAAGTAGAACCAGCCATATATAGCTCCATGTGAAACAGACTGAATGAAGATGAGAATCATTTCATCTTCCCATGGCCCCAAAAGACAGGTGAGCGGTTTAAAGGCAGAGTCGCCAAGTTCAAAGATTACACCTGGTGATTGTTCTCACTCAGGCTAGATGGCTTTTCTCTCTACTGGCTCAGCTTCAGACAGCCTCTCCCAGGGACTGGCAAAGCTCCAGGCTTCTGCTCTGCCAGCTGTAACCCAGCAGGAAGTAAAGACCTGTTTTGTTTTGGTTTTTCTCATTTCCTGACAAGAAGGACTAGAGGGAATTTTTCTGACACGGACGAGATTATGTCATTTGCCCACTGGTGAGCTTACCAAGGCATCTAGGATGGAGAGACTCGGGTGCAAAGAACTGGTAATCCTCTGTGGGGCTGTCAGCTTGCTCCCAGAGCTGTGGAGGAGGATCAGTTGTCTTGAACCAACACTGGGAAGAAATAGAAATAGCAAGGAGGGAAAGCCAGTGTCCTGGTTTCCAAAAGAAAGTTCAGACTATGTCATCAAAGGTAAACAAGATGGAGCTTAGATCAGGCATAAAAGACAAATGTATTAGAGATGTACTCAAAGAATACTTTCGATTGGATAAATTGAGAGATCTAGTGATGTTTTAGTTATCCATTTTTATTTACATGTATGGGTGTTTGCCTAGATGGGTACCACACGCATGCTTGGTACCCATGCAGGTCAGTTCTAGAGCCCTGGATCCCCTAGAACCAGTGTTACAGAGTCAACAGCTATGTGGGTGCTGGGTACTAAACCTCGGTCCTTTGCAAGAGCAGCCAGGGCTCTTCATTTCTGAGCTGTCTCTCCATCCCTGGGCCCAGAGATTTAGCGCAGCATAGAGATCTCTTCATTCTCTCCTCAGCCCGGTTCTTTCATTTTACTGGGAGCACTCACTGCAATAGAAGAGGGCTGGCAGTCGAGACATCTTGATTCCTGGTGGTAAGCAGGAAAAGCAGCACTACCCACTGGACCATTCCTGCAGCTCCATTCATGCTCAGGACGAGCACAGCTCTGGATTTAAGAGATCTATCACGTGGTCCTCATTAAAACGGAAAGCTATAACAAATATGATACACAGTTGAAGGATAATAAATTAATGCTTAGTGATGATTCCATGCCCTTCAAAGTGGTGCTGGCTGGTGTGACTTTAAAGTCTGGGCACAGAATTCGTCACTCTACTCATCCGAGGTTTAATTGGCTGGAGATGATGCTTAACACTTCAAAAAGAAATGTGTTAATTTGGTAGAATGCCATTTTTTATTAAAGTTTAAAAACCAGCAAGGCAAAGGTTAAGGATTCACCACGAAGACGGACATCGTGTAAAAAGAAAAAGCTCTCGTACCCCATTTGTAAGCAACTGCTGTTTTCCTACACGGTTTCAGGCATATAGTTGACGACTGCTTTTTGAGACATTTATGCTTGTTTTGACAACTGCCGTAGAAGCCTTGTGCTTGATTCTCTCCCAGTGTTTGCTAAGGTAGTGATCAGGTTGCAGCTGGAATCCTTGTAGCAGACATCTTCTATTTCCTGACATCATCATAAAGAGACAGACGGACTGAACAACATCCTGATAATACTGAAGGGAAATATTTCAGTTCTTAAAACCTGGAAAAGTGCTCAAATTAGGTTGGCTGGCAGAGTCTGTGAGTTTTATCTAGGAAAATAAAAACCAAATAAAACACCTGGGACTAAAATGCCTTCCAGAAATGGCTCAGTGGTTAAGAGTACTGACTGCTCTTCCAGAGGACCCGGGTTCAATTCCCAGTACCCACATGGCAGCTCACAACTGTCTGAAGATCCAGTTGCAGGGGGTCTGACACCTTCATACCAATGCATATAAAATAAAGTTAAATAAACCATAAAAAAATTTTTTTTTAAAAAAAGAAAACTCCAATTTCCACTGGCTTTAATTTTGAAGGGGAAATATATTATGGGGGTGGAGCACAAAGCATACCTATTTTGTTAAATTAAATATACCACATTCATTCTACAAAAGAAAGGTCTTATTGTGAGTAAAGAAAACAAACAATGGATGGAACTAGAACAAAAATATCCTGAGTGAGGTAACCCAGACGCAGAAAGACAAACATGTTATGTACTCACTCATAAGTGGATATTAGACATAAAGCAAAGGATAACCAGGATATAGTCCATGACCCCAGAGAAGCTAGGTAATAAGAAGAACCCTCAGAAAAACATGTATAGATCCCTCTGGGAATGGGAAATAGATAAGATCTCCTGAGAAAATTGGGAGGATGCGGAGGTGGGGGGGGGCAAAGAAGGGAGGGCAGACCGGGAGGAGCAGGAAAGAAGGGGAGAAAGGGAGGGGGGAGAGAACATGAGGGAATGGGAGAGTCTAGATAGGGGGAGGACAGAGATAAAGAGCAATGAAAGAGATATCTTGATTGAGCGAGCCAGTATGGGGCTGTGTGAAACCAGGCACTAGGGAAATTCCCAGGAATCCACAAGGATGACCCCAGCTAAGACCCTCAGCAATAGTGGAGAGAGTGCCTGAACTGGCCTTGCCCTTTAATCAGATTGATACTACCTTAATTGTCATCATAGAACCTTCATTTCACAGCTGGTGGAAGCAAATGCAGAGATCCCCAGCTAAGCACTGGGCCATACTTCAGGATACCAGTCGAAAAGAGCAAAGAGTTTAAGACCATGATGAGGAAACCCATAGAAACAGCTGCTCTGAGCCAGTGGGCATTCAGTGATTCTGGTCTGACGGGGAGGTTGGGGGGGAGGGGCAGCATAGGATTAAACTAGGCCCTCTGAGTGACTGTAGTGTGGCTTGGGCAGTCTGTGGGGCGGTGGGACCAGGATTCATCCCTAGTGTTTGAACTGTCCTTTTGGAGTCCATTGTTTTTGGAGCAATACCTTGCTCAGACTAGGTATAGGGAGGAGGGCCTTGCTCCTGCCTCAAAGTGATGTGCCAGACTTTGTTGATTCTCCATGGGAAACCTTACCCTCTGTGAGGAGTGGATGGGGGGGTGTGGAGGGTGGGAGGAGGGTGAGAGGGAGTGGGAAGAGAGGAGGGAGTGGGAACTGGGATAGGTATGTAAAATAAAAAGATTGTTTTAAGAATAAATCAATAAAAATAAAAATTTTAAAAAGAAAACAAACAACAAATCCTCAGACACTACACCAATCCACCAGTTTTAACCGTTACGCGAGTTGAAGTAGAGCCCCGAGGTATAAACCAGTCAATGGCGTTGGGATTGTATGTCCCTGTAACCGGTGGCACAAAGCTTTCTACCTGGCAGCTCTGAGCATCAGCCTGCCTCTGGCTGCCCTCTCCATACCTCTCTGCAAGATGCCCACCCAGCCCTCAGAGAGCTGGTCCCAAACCCACACATCAACCGTCTAAAACTTGTGTGTTATCTGACCAGAATTAAAACCGAGTGTGAGAGAGTTGGTGAGTGACAAAGGTCAGAGGTGAACATTTACAGTTGCTTCCATCACAGTTGGTGAAAGCAACACGTGATTCTCTGGTGGGGAAATCAAGTCACCGAGACAAGAAAGCCCTGTAAAATAGAAAAGAAACGGGGGCTTCAGAGATGGTTCCAGGGTTAAAAGCATTGGCGGTTCTTCTGGTTCAATTCTAGCACCCACAGGGCAGCTTACACCTGTCCGTAGCCCCACACAGACATACATACAGGCAAAACACCAATGAACATAAAATAAAAATAATCTTAAAATGAAACTATAGACAAAAGAGGGATTTGGTTCGATAATGCAAAACAGAGGGAGGAATGAGATTGTAATCTGGTACTTAGATATTCCACAGGTGCATGTTTTTGCTCCGTGGGTTTGTGAGGGACGCTACTCCCTCTATGTGTCAGTGCTGACTTTGGGGACTTCACCGTCTGGGTACCGAAGCTGCTCCAAGAGACCACCGGGTCATTGTTTCCTGAATTCATGGAACATTTACACCCGCATGTGGTGCTCACGGGCACACTGAAGCCTCGGGAGTTCCAGAATTTCACAGGGGAAGTGTCAGAGATTACAACACTCTTTCCTAGGTTAAGATGAATTAAGCGTTTGTCACATCTTTTTCCCCAACCCCCATGGAAGGATATGACACAAAATGTGAGTTATCCGTGTTTGTTACACATGAGGAACAAACCACTCTTGTGCTCAGCCTGAGATGACTATATTTTAACAGTGCACTTAAGCAGACGTAAAAAAAAAAATTCGTTTATTCTAAGAAGCATGGATAAGTATGCAACGAACAGAGAAGCAACCCCTGCCCCCAAACACACATACCTTAATTTCTCCACTCCTAATGACTAAGTTCTTCAAAAGATTGTCTTCACGGATGACATCACTCCTCTGAGAAGTCACTGGGTAACCACTGTCCTCTCTAGCCGGTGGTCACTCTGGAGCAGAGGTCACTTCCTCTTGAAGATTTGGGGAAGGGCATCCAGAGTCCCACAGTGGAAGGGCAGGGCAGTAGGATGAGGCAGGCAGCACGCGCTCGCGCGTGTCTCTAACCCACTCAGCTCGGGGGCGGGGCGCACTCCTTTCTGATGCGGTGATCCTGAGCTCTGGGAATTTCCGCAGCACCAGCTCGGGCTTTTCCTGCCACCATGCATAAAACGGACTCGCGGGGCCCCAGAGCTCCAGATCGCACCACAGTGCCTCCAGCCAGCTCCTGCGCTCCAGACTCCAGCCACACTCCTGCTCAGCGCCATGGCCCCAGCCACACGTCCTCTCCTGAGTGCAGCGCTGCTGTTGCTGCTGTTGCTGGCCACCAGCCACCAAGCTACAGGTGGGATCCGCGGCTGCCATCCCTGGAGGAGCCTCGGGTGGGCGCAGCCTCCCACAGCCCTACTGACAAAGTGTCTTTTCTCACAGGGGCTATTGTGGTCACTGAGTTGCGCTGTCAGTGCCTGAAGACCATACCAAGGATTGATTTCAAGAGCATCCAGAGCTTGAAGGTGACGCCCCCAGGACCCCAATGCACCCAGACTGAAGTCATGTGAGTGTCTACTTGGGCAGCTTTTGCCACTGCCAGAATTGCTCAGACCCTCCTGCTGCCTTAGGCTCACCCCAGTGGTACCTAATACCTTACAAGGGTCCCCTTTCTTTATGTAGAGCCACTCTCAAGAACGGTAAAGAAGTTTGTCTCGACCCTGAAGCCCCCTTGGTTCGGAAGATCATCCAAAAGATACTGAACAAGTAAGTCGTGATTTGTGCTTACACTTGACCGGAGTCTTTGTCAGAGTACTGGTGTCTGAGTCCTGAAAATTATATAAAGGGAAAATCAAGACCCAAAACCTGGATTATTAATTTCATAGTAAACATTGCCTTGTGACCATCAATTTATTCTGATGTCAGAAAGATGTGACCTGCTCCTACCATCCACACACTCAAAAGCCCTACTCTAAAGGATGGTCGCTGTGTGTGTCGGTAAGAATTTAGCCGAATTGACTAGGGGCATTGCAAATCCTCTTGTCTGTTAAGATACAGTACTTAGTCCTGCCCTATCCATGTCTTTGGGTTGTAAAGTATAGTTCCTGGTTTGGGTCAAGGTGCGCCTCTGAGTCTTCTTGATGAAGAACAGATGCTCTGCCATGAGACCACTAGAAATTCCAATGCAGGAAGCTCCCTCATATCCTGCCTGAGTTAAAGGAAGCTATAATGGGAGCTCGTCGTATTTACTCTACAGCTGAAGAGAAACTGCATCTTTATGTTTTTATTCTTCATATCATTTGGACTGGTTGAAGCTAGTAAAAGCCGGAACCCCAGCCCTACTATTGTCATTTCACAGCCTCCAGAACGTTTATTGGCCTAGGTCATAGTTCCCTGGCAGGAGGTTAGAGATGCAGAATAAAGAAAAAGATCCACATGAAGGGAAAAGAGGAGCGTGCTGCAGTCAGTCTTTCCAACACCTGCTAACAGCAAGCGTTTTCTCATCACAGAGACAAGGCTAACTGAGCTGGAAATCACTGGCGTGTGGGCTGCTGTACCTCAAGGAGAAGATTCAAAGAGAAAAGAAACAAACAGCACCCAGGAAGCCTGGATTGTTCCTGATGCGTCCTACTGTCTGAAAGTTTAACTATTTATTTATATATGTATTTATTTATTTATTTTTCATTTCTCGGATATCATTACGTTTATTGTGATATTTAAAGATATAAAAGTTTGGCAATTCTCTGTAATATTTTAAAAGGTCATTTTAATATGTTAAATCAAAGTTATTTGACTTATGTAGTTGGAAGGTAATGAATTTTGAAATCTGTCCATTCATTATTTTCTGAGGGGGTGAGTTAGGCACTAGCTACATCATGCCCTTGCTATGATAGAGACTGGGGGAAGACTGGGGGGAGAGTCATAGACAGATGCAGTCAGATTGCTTTTGAGGTAGGATTGGGCATCTATACATCCGTTTTTATAGGTATCAAGAAGAATAGAACAGCTGTTGTTTATTGTTCAATGTTTTTGCACTATGTGGACAGCATTTCTGATGCTGACTTTTCAATCACAGTAATGTGAGTATCCCTTGGACATTTTACGTCTTCTTTGTAAGGCACAGTGCCTCGGTTAGCAATTATTTTGCCATATTTTCTCATGTCTTGAAGTGGAAACATTTATTTATTCATGTGCTTTTACAAATAACAAGAAAATTAAATTTTAAATAAAAAAACTCCATGCTTAAGTTTGTTTTCTACATCTCAATCTTTCGTTCCTTCATTCTACCCAAGGTGTCAGGAACACACAGCAAACCATTGCTCCCCTGGGGACAGCACTAGCTGAGCCTCTCTTGTTTCTCTCAAGGAGGCACGCTTGATGCCTTTCAAAGTCTACATAGGATATTTTCCCCCCAAAGAACCAACTTGCGGCTCAACACTAATACAATAATTTTTGAAAATGTAACATTTTTTTCTTTTTTGGTTTTTTGAGGCAGGATTTCTCTGTGTAACAGCCCTAGCTGTCCAAGAACTAACTCTTGTAGAGCAGACTGGCCTCAGCTCACAGAGATCCACCTCTCGAGTGCTGGTATTAAAGTGCACCCCCTCCCAGCTTTTAACAAACATTTTTTAAAGCTCTCATTTTAATTGAATTTCTAAATATTTATTTATTTATTTATAAACATACCTTGCTTTCCCTCATAATGGAGTTGAGTCTGAACAGAGACTGAACTGTGGCAGGTCCTTTCTTGGAACTCAATTTCTGCAATGAAGATAAAACTTAGAAAAAGCGGGAGCCTGAGTACTTAGTAAGTGTAAAAGACCACTCGGAGGGAGAGAGATGGTTCAATCTCCTGAAATGAAATGCTGGTCTAATGTTGCCAAGTTTAAATGCTCCCTGAGCCAGTCGGTTTGAACTTAAACTTCCCAGATAGACAGGAGCATGCTGAGCCTCCCTAATAGAAATAAAGATGACTATAGAAGGTGGGAAAAGCTGAGCCAATGAAAATACCTTCCAGAACTGAACAGGAAGAAAAGGTGTGTGTGGGGGAACTGGAGAGAGAGACAAAGAGACAGGGAGACAGACAGACAGACAGACAGACAGACAGACAGACACACACACACACACACACACACACACAGAGAGAAAGAGAGAGAGAGAGAGAGAGAGAGGTGATTCACTGGGACCTGTCTCTAGACCATCAATCCTAACTTTATACTATGAAGTACAGCACGAACTAAAGGACTTTCCTGGTGGCCCGACACTCATTAATGCTATCATTCCTTATGACATTTTCAGACATTCTTACTATTATTTCACCCTGCCCCTCGTTCTTCTTCATTTATACCCATCACCCCTCCCTAATTAGAAAATCCACATTTTCCTGTTTCTTCTTGTCAGAGTACTTGTACCAGACTAAATTCATCCCTTTTGATAACTCAATGGTATTGGTTTCCTTGTTAGGTAAATTAGATATTTTGATTTTCAAGACTATTAAGCAACATGATAATCACAATTTTATTAAGTTTTCACTTAAAGAGTTTGATTTGCTGATGCAGACTAAAGTATGTTGAATATGATATAACTAGGCATTTGCCAAGACAGAGCAGAATTGGAACTCATAATTCAGTTTTAATAACTCAGTTTTAAACACATGGAAATAGCATATAGCTTCTGACCAAACACAAATTGTTGATTGCTTCTGAATTCCAAAGTCCTGATAGCTTCTACAGAGAGGGTGGATTTCAGTAGATCTTCATATGGCTATGGAAAAGGATGTAAAGGGAAGACAATTGCAACACGATGAGACTGGCTTGGCACCAACATTAACCTCTGTTGAAGGAAAAAATGTCTCCAGGAATAGCGGGGAGATGGTTCAGTCAGCAGAGAGACTGCCACACAAGCCTGAGAGCTGAGTTTGGATTTCCTGCCTCCATATTAAAGCTGGGTGGTTTTGCCCTCCACATGCACTCACAGACGTGTGCGCACACACCCCCACAAAACAAACATATGCAGTACACACACGCATACATACACACACATACTTTCTCTGTACAGCATCTTTTAAATTAACTGCAAGTGCCATGGTTTCCTATACAATTGCATAGTTCCTTCTCCAGACAAGGTCGTGACTTTATTAAGAGTTTTATTCCATCTCATACTTCCTTTCCCTCCAAATAATACAAACGGGAAAGAATCCACTTCCTTACTGGGTGATGTCTAGTATCTTTTTCCTTCCTTTTACAATAAGGAGGGGCAAGACACTAAATTGCTCTTGAGAATGTGGTGCCTGGATCCATTAGAGCTGCCCACAGGGAATTCACAAACATTCTCTGTTGGCTGCCCTGACACACTTCATCCTTTCCTTTGGTCTGTTACAACACTTATAAAAGACGAATCCTAGCTAGAGAGAGTTCTTGTTTCTTTTGTTTTGAGATACGGCCTCCTTGGAGACCCAGTCTGACTCCAGCTCTTGACCCTCTTAGCTCAGCCTCCAAAAGGCTGGGATTACAGATTTGAGCTACCATAACCAGAATTGGCTTTGGCAATGTGAGATGGCAATGGAGGGCATTCAGGCCAGTTTGCCAAGCACCCAAATCCATGTAAGAGTGAAAAGCTTTAACTACCTAGTAATTCTGACTGCAAAGGTTTGTGTTTTCCTTACTAGACAGACTAATATAGACTGTTTTGTAAATGGAATTATTATATTCGACTGAGATCACATGTCTAATTATCATAATTATAAAGTTTTGCTGAACTGAAGCACTTTTGTTTTTGCCATGCCTGAGACAGGGTCTCTCTCTGTAGGCCTGTCTGGAACTTGATTTGTAGACCATGTTGGCCTCAAACTCTCAGAGATCCACCTGCTTCTGCTTAAAGCAGTTGCTGTATACTTACATAGGTTGTTATCATGGTGATATTAAAAACCTCAGGCATTCCCTCCAGGATTCCATAGTTGCTCCTCACTAAATGCATACTAATTATTATCTTAGGAAATAATTAGACTTCTGTGAATTCTCCAGTGTTGAGTTATTAGTTCAACACTGGGGCCTGTTACTTTGATTTTAAATATTCACTAGTGTTAGGCAACATGGGTATCATTAGCTTTGTTCAGAGTTTTGTTACACTTATTTTACACAGCTCACACTTGTGAGACTGAGTTATAGTGTTAGTATATTAAAGCATCTGCTGGTTTTTTCTTTCCTCCCATGTGTATTGAAAATATCCTGTTGACACTGAAAGGTCTTACTGTAGCTGGAAGAAAACAAAAGACCAGGAGACACCAGGCTAAGATGAGGATGGCTGATAGTGTTTTCTGAACAGGAAAGTTGAAACTCCACCTGAATAGGAATATGAGAGTCTAAGAAAAGCGAGAAAAATGTCTGGTAGGGGAACATCAGGAAGGTGTGAACTAGAAATCACAGATTCAATTTGAAGGTGAATGAACATCCAAAATGTATTAGTTAGCTTCTTACTTATATTTATAAAATACCTGATGAAAGCAACATGGAGTTTATTCTGCCTTTCAGTTCAAGGTGGCGATGTCACGGCAGCAGGAGCTTGAGGCTGCTGCTCGTGCTTTATCCACAGTCAGACATCAGTGAGGGGTTAGCGCCTCTAGTCCACTCACCTTCTCCTTACCCCAACCCCTTTCAATACATTGCTGCCCTGGAATATTGCTGCCAACTCTGAGGCGTGTTTCTCTGCTTCCTCAAGCCTCTCTGCAAAACACTGTCATAGATACAGCAGGAGGTATGTTTCCATGGTGATTTCAATTTCCATCAAGTTGATGATGGAGGTTAACAATTACCTTTAATAAGCACATGCATACAGAAAGTAATCAGGTAATATGGATAATGTTATAGATTCTTTCTAACTCTTTCATGCCTGTGAATAGAGAATATTTAAAATGCAGCATATCTTTCCAGATTATTTTATTTATTTATTTATATTTTCCTACTCCTCTATTTCTGTGTATGCTCCTATGTTGGAGTGTGTGCATGCCATGGAGTGCATGCAGAGCACAGAGGACAGATTTCAGGAGTCCATTCTCTCCTATCATGTGGGTCCCTAGGGTGAAAGTCAGGTCATCAGACCAGCAGGAAGCTCCTTTACTGTTGGGCCATCTTGCTGTCTAGTTCACAAACTTTGTTGTTGTGTAGTATCATTGATGCAAAAGAAATGTATGACACACAGAACATAGGGAGATCTGCTTTTACAATTATAAAACCCAAAACTCCATAAAACATTTATGTGCACATATGAGTATTATATTCATACATCTATAATTTATGTTCAGTTCTTAGAATAGTAACAAAACACACAACCACACACGTTCCCAACCTCAGGTTCCAGAACTTGACCAGGACTCCCATTCCACTCTGCACCCTCCTGAGGCTCAGCCCTCTTTCTCCCTGACAGCCACACTTCACCTTGGCTCTCTTTTGAATTCACTGTCTCTCACATTTCACCTATCATCGGGTTTTCCAACGCTTCTCTAATTGTATGCTGAACTTTAGTTAAGTGAGATAATGATGCTTTGTACACAAGATGCCACCCAGTGTTCAGCAGCATGTACGAGCACTGCACACAACATCGACTCCTTTTGTAGAATTTTACATCAACATTTATTTCATTCTCCAAGGGCTAGGAATTTGAATTACTTTCAGTCTTCTTAGTATAAATAGTGCGAAAGTCAAAATCTCAGTACCAGTTTCTAGCTAGGCATATTATTGATAACTAAGAAAGACTATACGTAGATATAAAACACATAAATGGAATTACTAATTATAAGGTACTGATAATTAACTTATATCTAAGTTCAGCAAGTAACCATTTTCAAAATGTAAATGAAAAAAACCATTTCAAAATGGTTGTGATTTGGCTCAAAAGCAGCTCATGAACGTTCCTTGTCTGCCACCTGCTGGCCATTTTCTGACTCTGGTCAAATTTTCTGCCATAGGACTGCACAATAGTAGCCAGTGGTCTCGCCTTACTTTTTCCTTATTACAAACACAGTTTGTAACAAGGATATGCAAATATCCTTTTACATAATTATGGAAATTTTGAATATGAAAATTTAGGATTAGATTATATTTAATTTGAAGAGAAATAGTTGGTAAATCTTTAAATAGTAAATCATTTTACAATCTGCAGATAGCCTGTGAATTAAGATCTCCAAATTCCTTA